GCAAAAGCTTAAAGGACACCATGAAAAAGCAACAGTCAGATCTAGAACAACTTTTCAAGAGTTTCTCTATTACATTTAGGGCTGGATCACTCTGGTGGAAGCTGTTGTGTGCATTGTAAGATGTTGAGCAGTTTCCCTGCCTCCACCTGGTAAATGCCAGGAGGTACCCCCACCAAGTGTGACAATCAAAATCAGACCCTCTTGAGTGTCATGGTCTGAATGTGTCCCCCAAATCCATGTGCTGTCAACTTAATCCCCAATGAAACAGTGCTTGGAAGTGGGGATTTGGGGAGACTATCCTCATGAATGGATTAATACCATTTTAAAAGGGTTTGTTGGATAAAGTTTTCCCTTTATGCTTTTCCACCTTCCACCACACAAGGACATGGCATTGTCCCCTCCAGAGGACACAACGTTCAAGGTGTTTCCTTGGCAGCAGAGAGCAGTCCTCACTAGACAGCTGAATCTGCTGGCACCTTGATCTTGGACTTGCCAGCCTCCAGAACTGTGAGCAATAAATTTCCGTTCTTTATAAATTACCCAATCTCAGGTATTTTGTTGTAGCAGCACAAATGACTGAGACATTGAGAATTACTGTTCTTGAGTAACAGAGATTGAAGACACACCAGCAAGCGCTATGCTAAAACCTTGATTGTAATATCCAGGTTTGAAACATAAATGAAAGGCTATACAAGACAGTCTCAGAACAATTGGAGAACCTAAGTACAGAAAGAAGATTAGATAATACCTAGGTGTAGTGCTTATGAAAAAGAATGCTCTTATTCCCAGAAAATGAATGCTGAAAATTTTTAGGGGGAAACATAATATCTGCAAGTTATTTTGAAATGACCCAGCAAAAGTAGGGTAAAAGAAAAAAAAAAAAAAAGATAAAGCTAATGATATAAAATGCTAGCAATTGTTGAATGCAGGTACAGAATAAACAGGTGTTCTTTATTCCATATTTTGATTTTTCTGTATTTTTTATTATTTTCAAAAATAGAAAAAAAAGTAAATAGAGCAGAATAGAGAATAACATGCACGTTGATTATTATCTCAAAGAGTTTGTATTTCATTCATCCAGAGGCGATATTAACAGAGAAAAGGCAAGCCCCAGAGTGTGAAAAGATACTCCATGTACATATAACCAACAAAAGACTTACATGCAGAATATGTAAAGAAATATTATAAATCAGTAGGAAACAAACAGGCAATAGAATACTTTGCGAATGGAGCATTCAAAAGAGACCATTAGGAAAATGCAAATCAAAGCATCAATGCAACTGCATATCCTTTAGAATGCCTTGGATTAAAAAGATTTATAACATCAAATGCTAGCAAGGATGTGGAACACTCTCAATTCTCATACATTGATGGTGGGAGTGTAAATTGACTTGACTACTTCAGCGGTATCCGTTAAAAGAGATGATGATTCTTTTGCAGATGTATCTCTTGGGAAGAGATGGAAATCCTACAGTACAGTACCCTCTCAGAAGTGCCTACATATGTGCACCCAAAAACATGAGCAAGGTTGTTCCATAGTAGCATTGTTTGTCCAAAACAGGAAAAAACTCAAATATTCATCAACAAAAGAAAGGATCGGTAACATGAGGTATATTCATACCATAATAAAAAAATAATCATACAAAGTGCAAATGACTCAAACAAACATAATGCTGATTGAAAGAAATCAGGCACAAAATGCTTCCACGTATGTGAAATTTCAGAACAGACAAAGCTACTCTACAATGTTAGAATTCAGGACACTGGTGGTCTTTGGGTGGTGGCGACTGGATAGGGGTACGATGGATATTTCTGGGGTGCCAACTTTAATCTATTTGTTGATTTGGGCACTGGTTACAGATGCAAGCTCACTCGGTAAAAATTTGAAAAATGTACACATGATTTGTGCCAGAATCACCCAAGTAAGCTTAAGCAAATTACCAGCATCGTATGCCTCAGTTTCCCCATTTGTAAAATGGTAAGGAGAAAATTTACCTTGTCGGATTGTTATAAGAACTGAATGAAGTGATGGATAAGTTTTAGCACAGTGTCTGACTCAGTTTTTAAAATTTTCTTCCCCGTCATCATCACTGTCATCATCGTCACCACCATCACCATCATCACTGTCCTAGTTTCCCAGGGCCACCATAACAAAGTCCCACAGACCAGGAAGCTTAGACAATAGACATTTATTCTCTCCCAGTCCTAGAGGCTGGAAGTCTGAGATCAAGGTGTGGCTGGAAGTCTGGGATCAAGGCGTGGCTGGAGGTCTGAGATCAAGGCGTGGCTGGAAGTCTGGGATCAAGGTGTGGCTGGAAGTCTGGGATCAAGGCGTGGCTGGAAGTCTGGGATCAAGGCATGGCAGGAAGTCTGAGATCAAGGTGTGGCTGGAAGTCTGGGATCAAGGTGTGGCTGGAAGTCCGGGATCAAGGCGTGGCTGGAAGTCTGGGATCAAGGCGTGGCTGGAGGTCTGAGATCAAGGCGTGGCTGGAGGTCTGAGATCAAGGCGTGGCTGGAGGTCTGAGATCAAGGCGTGGCTGGAGGTCTGAGATCAAGGCGTGGCTGGAGGTCTGAGATCAAGGCGTGGCTGGAGGTCTGAGATCAAGGCGTGGCTGGAGGTCTGAGATCAAGGCGTGGCTGGAGGTCTGAGATCAAGGCGTGGCTGGAGGTCTGAGATCAAGGCGTGGCTGGAGGTCTGAGATCAAGGCGTGGCTGGAGGTCTGAGATCAAGGCGTGGCTGGAGGTCTGAGATCAAGGCGTGGCTGGAGGTCTGAGATCAAGGCGTGGCTGGAGGTCTGAGATCAAGGCGTGGCTGGAGGTCTGAGATCAAGGCGTGGCTGGAGGTCTGAGATCAAGGCGTGGCTGGAGGTCTGAGATCAAGGCGTGGCTGGAGGTCTGAGATCAAGGCGTGGCTGGAGGTCTGAGATCAAGGCGTGGCTGGAGGTCTGAGATCAAGGCGTGGCTGGAGGTCTGAGGTCAAGGCGTGGCAGGGCTGGCGTCTACTGAAGCTTCTCTCCTTGGCTTGTAGACGGCATCTTCTCCCTGTGTCCTCACAAGGTTGTCCCTCTGTCTGCATCCTAATCTCTTTTTATAAGGACACCAGTCATATTGGATCAGGGCCCACCCTAGTGACCTCATTTTACCTCAATCACCTCTTGAAAGTCCTTATCTCCAAATAGTCACATTCTGAGGTCTTTGGAGTTAGAGTTTCAATCTATGAATTTGGGAGACACAACTCAGCCCATAATAATCACCACCATCACCACCACCATCATCATCACCATCATTATGGTCACCGCCATCTATAAAAGCTCTAAAATGAGGTTAAAAATCCAGCTGGGCAAATAATCTTTAAACGATTGAATGATTCTTAATTTTTCTTGAGAAGTAAAGTATCCTGTAATCTTAAAATGCTGATAAATTCTCAGATATTTTAACAGGTTCTGTTCTTACTGAACTAAAATATATTAAATGCAGTCTTCTCAAAATCTGAATGCTAAAATTCTCTCAAAGATACACAGCCATATTACAAGTTTGTAACCTAACAGACTCAGCATCTGGCATCTTCTTTATAGGTTACTTTTTTTCCCCAGAGGATTTGATTACTATAGTGAACTTGCTGGTTTCCTATGCTCCTAATCTTGGTTAATAATTTAGTGCTATTTTCAAAATACACTAGGACATTTCTTTTTTTGCTCCTAAACATAAAAGAAAATGTGTTTTATCTTCAAAGTATATTTCACATACTAGGTATAATTGGAGCTACACCAAAGTGTTCCAACAGGTGTTGTATGTGCCAAGGAAAAAAACAATAATTCGATTTTGTTTGTTAGGGTGACGATAACAGCTGGCATACGGAGTTTTTAAAGCTAAGGCACTACTCTGATCTACAAAAATGACACTGTACTTTATAAAGCAAAGGTCAATGAAATCAGAAAGAATATTGGTTTTCCTAATTCAGGAGTGGTGGCCAGAAAGAAATCCCATTCTGCTGTTCCACACCAGTATCTGTCAATACTAGGACCTTTCATATGCATTTAAGTATCAAACAATGGTTTCAGCAGAATTTGACCAAGTGACTTTGAGAAATAAAAATATTACACTTGGTTCCTATAGATTCACACACCTCAATTCATGGTGCTGAGTCAACATACCTAGAATTTCTTTTCTTCCAAGGGCATTTCTTCCTGCTCCCAAATAATAGTTTAACATTATTTCTAGAACGATACAATATTTTATACACATCTTTCTGTCTACCCAAAAAATTAATGATAGTTTAGGTCAAATCACATCTCTTGGGGACTCAGCGTATATAATTCTGTGATCCTGAAATCGTGAAGCGCAGATTGTGATATTGGCATTATTCAGGTAGTCACATTGTTTCATACCTTTTATATAGATATTTTTTTCCCCTTTTTGTCTTTTTTACTGACCGGTAACGGGATCGTAACCCTCGGTGTCGCGCCTGTACCAGGGACCGGCAACGGGATTGCAACCCTCGGTGTTGCGCCCGCACCGCGCTCAGCCAGTGAGCGGGAACCGGTCTCCACATGGGATCCAAACCCTTGGCGGGAGCGCCGCCGCGCTCCCAAGCGGCGCACTCTCCAGTGCACCACCAGGCCGGTCCTATATGGATATTTTGAGTGTCATCAAAACATTTTCAAACTTCTCATGGATTGATTTATCACTTATCATAATGCCTGGCACAGAAAGAAAACTCAATAACCATGGAATGTATGAATGAATCAATGAACGAATTACAGAAACTGATAAGCAAAGCTCAGAAAATGGGTACCTTCCCTAAAAAGGCCTTATGAGATTTCAGAAGGTGAGAATAAACAGTGTACACATTTTACTGTTGCCAGCAATCCTGAAATAACCATCCGAATCATTTAAATTTATTGTAGGAGAAAGGCAGCCTCCTTCGTTCCCTCTGTGTACTATAAGATATGATCTGATTACCCAGGACACATGCAGACACACACCAGAAGGAGACCACATGGCTGTTGAAACATTTTAATTTAGATGTGTTAACGTCCATCCAAATGTGATGATACATACCAGAATGCATAGCAGAACTCCGTATTGAGCATATGTACCTTAAGCCAACGATCTATTGCCTGCAAACATGATTTCTCATCTTCGGAGAAGCTCAAACAGACTCCAACATCCATCACCTGAGTGCTCCGTCCCATTTGTTAGGCTCAGGCTTCTGTTCTTCAACGCCCAGCACAGAGCACCGACATTCTCCGTTCAGAACATACATATCGTATCACTCTCATGGCTGGTTACTATCTCACCACAACTCACCTAAGGCTATATCCCTATGGCTATTTTAAATCAACGCCTGAAACATCCCGTGTATTCTGCCCACCAAGCCTGCAGATGTTAAGAGAAACAAGCCCACAGTAATCCACACCTTGCACAGCAAATGCCTCAGATACTGCCATATGTTGACACCAATTACCCTTACCAAAGGGTTCAACTGTTTCAGGTGACGTAAATAGCATCCAAACACATCAACTGAATTAAAACACTCTGTGAAGACAGAGACTTCTTCAAGTCTTCTAACAGCCATGCAGGGAGATAACAGCACGTTGTCACAGTTCGTAAACTGAGGATATTCCTGAAGATGAGGCTTTCTTGTGGAATAAAGTGACTCGTCTCATAAAACTGAGATTTCTCCCAAAAGAGCTGAGTAGAAATGGCTTTGAAGAGCACAGTGATTGAATAAGTTATTTAGAACTGAGGTAGTGACTGAGACCAAGCAAAGATATGTCAAGCGTCACTGAGTGCAAACTGATTTTGTCATTAAGCAAAGAGCATCTCTAGATCCTGTGGTCGTAAGCTAGTTGTTGACATAAATCATTTGGCATAAACCCTTCATTGTTTTAAACCAGTAAATAAATCAGTTTAGAAGAGGTGACATCCCCCCCAAGCCAGCTAAAATCATTCTTCCAAATATCCCTGGCATGCCCCAAATCAGGTTTCTGTCAACAGCACTGGGATATCTTGTTTGGATTTAAAGCAGATAGAAAACAGCTGTGGTGTTTCTCAGATAACGCTTCACAGAGACTTCAATGAGAGTCAAACTCACAATATCTAAACATTTACCTAGCCCTAAAGAAATGGGTTTTTCATTCTGGAAGGCTCGGAGGCACTGCACACATAAACTAGTGTTATTACGGTGGTGACAGAAGAAAATTCGCAGTGAGGTTTTACCCTCTACAGGATAGATCTCGTAGCACCTGTACCAGGTGGCATTTCAGAGCTCTATTGAGAAGTAGCATTGATCAAGGGTCTGCTGACAAGGTTAGAAGAAAAACTGACCTTTCTGGAAAGCCCAGAAGGCATTGGTAGCTTGGATCAGCAGCAGGGGGCTTCAAGCTGGATTTTTATCATGGAATTATTTATGTGAGGCACTCAAGTTGGTTAACTGTATGTAAACAGAGGCACATAGTTGAACTGCATTTCTCTCTGAAAGGACTAGAGGAAGTTTCCACGTAGTAACAGAACCACACGACAGAACATCGTCTAACCACACACAACTGCAAAACCACGGTGCGGCTTACTGCAGAAACCGGTCCAGCTTCTCCTGGATGCGGGCAAACGCGTCTTTGCCCATGTAATCTATTCTTCCCTCTTCCCACTTCCTCCGCTCTTCCTCGGGACTTAGTTCCTTAATCTTTTCCTCAATGGAAATCTCGGAAACAGAGATGGCCAGGTCAACCTATGAAACACAAGCCAACAGAAGACAGTCATCGACGGAAAGATTGCTAAATCCATCCAGCTTAGCAACAGGTTCTGCAAAAGGATGGACCTCAGCTCTTAAAAGGTGAATGCTCATTACTAGCCCTTTTCTTTTGAACTCAGTGCACGCTAGATTTAATTTAATATTCTTAAAAGATGCTTTTTTGCCTGTTTTCTGAAATGTTATAAAACATAATTATATGTGTTTGCCTCTTCCTAAGAATTGTTATACTTCCTACCCACTAAATGATTTTAAACACGCAAGCACACACATGTATGTTACTGTTTTAATACTTTTACCCACCAGAACTTGCATATTTTGTATCACAGTAGATCATCAAACCATGTTACATGAAGAAAATTTTCATCTTATGTAAATAAAGCCTATAACACTTTGGACTGCTTGGCAAAATAAACTAAATACTAAGGTAAATAGTTTTCTTCTTGCAATGGCAGGGTAGATATGAGAAATACACAGGGAAACACAAACACACATATAAGCACATCTTACTTCTGTTAGGCACTCAGATGGGTCATCAAAAAATACTAAACACGTCTGCTTTAATTGCTTCCTACCAAGGACTGGGGGGGAAAAAAGACTTTTAAAGATGTGCGTGTAGCAACAATCATAGACACACACACATGTATGCCATCTATCCTTCTAGACATGCACAAACCTAGGTAGGTAGACAGATGGATGGATGGATGGATGGATGAATGGATGGATGGATGGATGGATGGAAACATCAGATAGATTGGTAGATAGATACATTTTATTCAAATACAACCATCCTATTGTTCCGAGGGATACCAAGAGGAAAAAAGGGTCTACTCCCAGGTATGTTAGTATTTCTTCCCTCTAAGAGCACCTGGCTTCAGACTTACTAAGTTCCTGAGAATTCAGTCCTTCTGGACTTAACAGGGCACCGTAGAGCCTCACCGACAAAACAGCACCATGATTGCAACATTTGGATAACAGGAGGAGATAAGTACCCAAGCAGACAATGCACTCCTTTCATTTCATGAAACGGGTTATGATATGAGACACTGAATAAGGATCCTCTCTAGGGGAGTGGGTATACAGCTAAGGGGGAGAATGTCAGGGGGCCCCAGTTTGGCACATGAGTGGCTGAAGAGATCCTGCTAAGCTTTAGGAGCCAGACACAAGCTAGAGTTTCTTCCTGACCACTCTGCTGTCTAATCCTCACCCCCTCAAGTTCAACCTCACACCCATGACATGTTACTCATAACCACAGACTCAATTCAAAGAGCCTCAAAATTATTACATAACAGCAGAACACACTGAAGGGATAAACTCACACTTTGTAACAAGTGATGTTTCAGAAAAAACCTTGTCACCAACAGCTCTAGAAATAAGTTCAAAACACCACACGTGGCATTTACTAGATGAACCAAGTAAGAGTGAAAGGAAAAAAAAATTCCCATGTTCTCCAAGGGTGACTTCTGGGAAAAGCATTTAGCAAACAAAAATATTTATGATGCAGTGGGTCACATTCCAAATCCATGTCCATACTAACTTCCATCCGGAGCCCAACACTGAGGTCTAGAGCTGCATTTACTATTAGTTAAAGACCAAAAGGTGTTATTTGATCATTCTTAGAAAAACAACAACAACAACAAAAAAAAAAAAAACATTGCTTTCTTTAAATGTGTCAACAGATAGAATGAAGTTTAAGACAAGAATATTTGTAAAAGAAAGAAACAAGAAGGCGTCTTTCGTTTCATTGTTAAACATGAAATCACTGCACACTCCATTTGGAAACAAACGTCTACCCCCAAATTTCCCAGCTCTTTTTTCCTCTGCATTTTAGAAAATGGACTGCCATGCAATAATTCCCATAGCCCTCAACTTCCCTTCATTTAACGTTTGCAGAAAGAGAAAGGGCGTGGTGAACTGCGCTGAAGATAGGAAAGACTACTAGACCCCACTCCAGGCAAATGCCAGACAGAAGACAGATGGACTGGAGGCACCAGTAGAAACAGGAAGACTCTTATTCCAAGAAAAAGAGGCTGAAAATTGAGTTAACTGCTGGTGCGTGTGTGTGGCCAGCCCCAGGGATGGCTGACAGCCCCCATCAGGAACGCCGCACAATACAAAGAATTCAGATACCACCTCCAAAGTGTCCTGAGGACCAGGGTCCCTCACGACCTCAACAGGGGACTCCTGACGTGGATTCAAGGTTTCCTCAGTCGGGCCACTTTCGGCTTTATTTGCTGGTGGCTGGAAACATAACCATTCCATCGTTAGTCTGCAGTGGGCTGCAGGGAACTGCAGACCTAACCTAAACGACAGGGAGCTAAAACGAGATTGAATTGAAGGACGGTGACAGGTATCCTTTTCTGGAAATGGTAAAAGAACTGAGCTTCCCCACCCCTGGGTTTTCCAGAGACACCTGCCATTTCTCACACAAGATGAGATGCTAGATGTCCCGATGCAATTTATCAAAGTTAACTTTTCAGAGAGGGATTCCACCAATGTGTACCAAATGCCTATGGAAGCATTTTGCTAAGATAGTCTCTTGCTGAGATTCAAAAATAACGTTTTTAGAGTCGGTCTTTTGCAGGTGCATGGTAATGGAAGCCCTGATTTATGAGGGTCAATTTAGGGAAACAAAGAAAAGGAATGAAAATAAAATCCATACATAAATACTGATTTTAGAGGCTGGTGAAAGTCCTACCAAAAAAAAAATGTTTTAATTAAGGGAGACATATACACCACACCGATGTTGCATCTTTTTCTTTTCTAATTCTTCTTAAAACAAGGTGTAAGAAAAGAGCCAACAGGAAATACGGTGATGGAAGTGGGTAAAAACAAATTTGAATAGACAACTAGATATGGTATCTGCCTGGATTATAGAGAAATAGGCTCATCACAACACAACTGATTCTGGCTGGAAAAACCACTCAGAAATGGCATGGGAGGAATTTTTTAAAGCATATGATGCCCTCCTTGTTATTTATTGGGTGTAGACACTGAGATAAACAGCAAGCAACAAGAGAGATGGGTGTATGTAAGTAATATAAATGAGGTATACCGCAGTGGTGGGGGTCTCTGTGATGTCCACGAATGGAAGTGAGGGCCGGGACAGTGGGTCACTCATTATTCCAGCAGAAGTTTCAATTTCAGGGCAACCTATCACCTGTGATAAAGAAAGAGAGCAAAGGCAGGTTAGGACAAACCTTCATGCAAATCAATGCCGCTTAATCTATGTTTTTCCGCTTCTGCAACGCAAGTGCACCTTGATATTGAACAGATTGGAGCACGGTGACGTGCTCATGGATACCTGCCTTCACTCCGTTGTCTTCTTCCCATGCTCACACCCAAGTCTGTTTTGCAGTCTCCTTACTCCTATGCAGCGCCATAGGAGTGATTCTCAACAACGGGATTGGGCGGATGTGATGGGAGCCAACTGCAGCTGGGTGGTGAGGAGGAATCTCATTTTCCTACTCTCTATTTCTCCACCGGCCAGGTGAAGTACAAGGTCCCCACACAGGGGCTCCACAAGAAGAGGAAACCCTACAGACAATGAGCCAGATCACTACTTTTCTCAGCTCTCTCAAGGATGGTGCATAGTTAGCACCCATCTAGATGTAGAGAAGATAACGTAATACTTTATGCACGATGCCTGCCTTTTGTGTGAGGGTCTATCCCTCTCAAGGAGTCCCAGTGGAGAAAGGCTGCCCTGGAAGATGGCAGAGAGGAAGAACGGGAGATTCTGAATCCCGCGGTGGTTGCATGGAGCAGAGGAGAACTTTGCCATGCCGGATGATCATGATGCAAACAAGAAGTCAACATTTACTGACTTGGGGCTGGTTGTTACACCAGCTAGCCAACCCTGACAAATACCAGGTCAGGAAGCAAGCCTGTGTCCACAAGCTGGAATCCCTAACAGTTCCCAAAGCAGCTGGCTTAATGAGCGTCAGCAACAGAGACCAGAAAAACGTTGACATTCTCATCGGTCTTCACACAAATACACTGCAGAGATCACGTGCGTTTGTAGGACTGGACCTCAACGTGGGCTCCACTTGTCTGAACCAGGCAGCCTTAAGAGAGTCCTAATCCTGCAAATGCAGATTCCCATGCCACAGTCCCAGAGATTTTGAGTGAATTGACCTGGGGTGCAGCCCAGTCTCTTAGATCCCCAGCTCCTGAATTTTTGATCCTAGTATTTTTTTTAGGAGAAAGTTTAGTTCATTCTTGTATTAGTGGAGGCATGAGTTTTACACTCAGCAGATATTCACTGAGACACAGGTGGTGAGCAGTGTAGATTGAGCTACACAGGCGTGATCTGAATCCTCATGAAGGTTATTGTCCCAGGAGAAAGGACACTCCACAAACAACAAATACAAAATGGCAAGTCACAAGAAACACGAGGAAGGAAAATGACAGATTGAGAAGAAGCTTTCTCAAGGGACTTCACTTAGTCTTAGGGGGAACTACTCCTGGAAGAGTAAAATCTAAAAGAAAACCTGAAGGATGAGTGGAAGTCAGTGATGGAGAAGACTGGAGATGAGGAGAGAAAAAGAACGTGCCGTGAAAAGCAGATGCATGTGTGCAAATGTCCTGAAGCACATGGCAAGGAAGAACATTAAGAAGGTAAACTAAGTTATCTATAAACCTGGACACCACCGAAAATCATAACTGGTGAAATTCCATAAAAATGTAAAATGTAGAATTTGTAAGAGAATGAAATGTATTGCTTACAGTTTCTGAGGCTGGGAAGTCCAAAGTCCAGGGGACACATCTGGTCAGAGCCTTGGTGGTGGTGACAGTGACCAAGGGGTCTCACATGGCAGAAATGTCAGAGCCCTCAGAACCACACCCCTGACCACCATTATTAACCCATTCACTACTGCAGGGTCCTACAACCCAATCACCTCTTCAAGGCTCCACCTTTCAATCACCATAATAGGATTTCCCACCCTCTTAACAGTCACAGTGGGGATTAAGTTTCTAATAATACATGAACTTTGGGGAACACAATTTAATCAATCCATAGCACACTGGAATCATAAACTTACTTTCTTTTTAACTGTCGACTTTTCTATCTCATAAACTTGAAAGTGCAATTGACATAAGTCATAGAAGCAGAGAAAAAGGGCTGGAGGGAAGGAAAAAGGGAGAAATGTTGGCCAAGGGCTATCAAGTTTCAGTCAAGTGGCATGAACAGGTATGTATGTACTATGATTACAATGAACAACACATTGCTGTATACAGTCGACTTTTGATCAGCATGAAGGTCAGGGACTCTGACCTTCTGCACAGTCAAAAATTCATGTATAATTTTTGACGTCCCCAAAACTTAACTACAAATAGCATACTGTTGACTGGAAAGCCTTACCGATAACATAAACAGTTGATTGATACATATTGCGTATGTTATATGTGTTATATACTGTATTCTTACCATAAAGCAAGTTACAGAAAATAAAATGTTATTAAGAAAATCATAAGGAAGAGGAAACACAGCAACAGTACCATACTGTATTTATTGAAAAAAATCCACATATAAGTAGCCCCACTGGGTTTAAACATCATGTTGTACACTTTAAATATATGCTTAATTTTCCTTTGTCAGTGATACCTCAATAAAACTAGGGAAAATTAAATAAAATATAAACTCCTTCTTCCAGATCATGATTATGAATGGAATTTCCAAAAATAAAAATCAGTTCTAATATTCAGTATCAAGCAAAGTTATAGAGTTGTCAAATCATCCAAAACCATGATAACAGAAGTTTCTTATTATAAGGTGTTCATGGCTGGCTCCTGAATGACACTCACAAGCTTCTTATGCAGCATTCCTTTTAATCGTAACAGCCCTGAGGGAGTTAGTTTGATCTTTCCTCTTGTGAAAAGTTTAATTTTCAGACAGAGATTCCTGTCCAACACACCAGAGCTAGCAAGCAAGGGAGCAGGATTTGAGCACACCCTTCTCTGACCACCCAGGCTTGCTCTCGACCATGAACTGCAACACCCTAAAGCAAGTCCTGGAAAAAATAATGATTGCTATAACTTCATTATCATAAACATATGAATCCCATAAAAATTAACAATTTCCTTCTTCGATCTGGGATGAGAGTGGAATGTCCTAGATTCAAATACTGACACTCGTTAAGGAAAAAGACCTGGATAAATTACCTACTCTCTGAGTCTCGGTTTTTTTATTACTACATGGCACAGATATTTGTTGTGACAGATAAATGAAGCAAAGAGCCTGACAAAGAGTTAAGTGCTCAGAAAGGATTAGTTGATTAGGATTAGGGAAAATGTCAGTCTGTTCCTCTGCCAACCTTATTTCTCTGGACAAATAAATTCCATGTGGGCCAATCATAAAATGCAATTCTTTGTTGCAAGTGATTTAACTCTGGGTTATATATTTGATTACAGTGGATGAAAAAATAACATAACTTTCCAGCTTGTTTTCTACAGATGTGTTAGAATAGTCATATGAATTTAACTTAACCAGGCAGAGAAGTTCAGTCAACCTTTGCTAACATTTCTAATCAAGACCCACAGGCTTAGGGCCGGCCCGGTGGCGCACTGCTACAGTGCGCCGCTTGGGAGCACGGAGGCGCTCCCACCGAGGGTTCGGATCCCACATACAGACCGGTTCCCGCTCACTGGCTGAGCGAGGTGCGGGCATGACACCGAGGGTTGCGATCCCGTTGCCAGTCCCGGTCCGGTACGGGCGCGACACTGAGGGTTGCGATCCGTTGCCAGACACGAAAAAAGCCCAAAAAAAAAAAAAAAAAAAAGACCCACAGGCTTAGATAAAAATGGTTAATATTAACTATTGAAATATAAACCAAATAATTATGAATAAATATTCCCCTTACTCTTACCAATAACAAGTAGGTTCTTTCATCTTTATATACCAGGCAGAGAGAATTCTAAGGCCAGAACTTAACCATAGCATGGTGCACAGTCAGCCTTTCAGATCAATTTTGGAATGCATGAATATAAAATATGTCTTTTAAAAACTGCATTTATTTTTATACTTAGGTAATAACTGTTTTCCTGATTGACCTCCTGAAAGGCTGCCTGAAGTTTGGGTCACCTTGAAAAAAGAGACTCTGAAATTGGAGGCAATCCAGAGAAGAATTCTTAGCTCAAAGGAGAGAGAGACTGAGGTATGGAAAGAAGCTTACAAAGCAAAGGACTTTCAGTCTGGAAAGGTGAAGGTTAAGAGCGGATGTCATGAAACAGGAACCAGGAAGCGGGTCCTCACCAGACAGCGAATCTGCCATGTCTGATCTTGGACTTCCAGCCTGCAGAACTATGAGCAATCAATGTCTGTGGCCTATAAGCCACCAAGTCTCTGGTATTTTGTTACAGCAGCCTGAATAGACTGAGACAAATGTAAAAAGTAGAAACAAGAAAACTTGCATAAGACATCCCATGAGAGCATCATGATGACCTTGGCTTAGAGTCAGGTTTCCTGATCACTCGTTAAAATAGATTATTTTTAAAAGAAATATTAATAAACTGGCTTAAACTAGGAGCTTCTGCCCATTAAAGGATGTCAATGAGGGATCGAAAAAGGGAGAAACAGTGTGAAAGAAAATATTTTCTATATATTACTGACAAAAAACTTCTGCCTGCAATAGACACATATCATTAAAGGTTAAAAAACAAACAAACAGAAAACACTGGGGAAAAAACGTTCAAAGCTTTTGAATAAGCACTTCAGAAATAGAATATCTAAATGCCTAATGAACACATAAAAACAAGCTCAACTTAATTAGTCATCTCATACCTGCAAATTAAAGCCACGATGAGACATCGGACATGGTCAGTGGTACTTTGAAAATGTATATAAGTACGTGGAACAACCAGAACTCCCACAATCTGCTGTCAGTACTGTGAAAATCTTTGGCAGAATCTACTAAAACTGTACAAACACACACCCTTTGATCTAGCAACCCTGTGATTAGGTATAATCCCTACAGAAATCTACACACAAGACCAAGAAAATGTATGCGCAGGAATGTTCCTACCAGTGTCATTTACATTAGCAAAAACTGTACAAGGTTCATCAATAGTAAAATTAACAAATAAATTGTGCCTTCATATCATTTGATAATCTGAAGCCCATGAGAATGAATGAACCACTGATTTTACTCAGCAAAATGGATG